TTCCTCATGTCGGTTTCATCCTTCTAAGTGTTAGAAGTCGATACCGCACACGCGAAACCTCCAAAAGAGGACGGAAATAGGTCGAACTAAAACGAGGCGGGCACCACTTCTAAGGTTCTAAGATAGTCGCAGGAAGACCCCTAAGGCTAGATCCTAACTCCTACGAGAAATACTAGACCTCACGAAAATTGAGGTCAACACTCGCATCTAAACAATATGGATGGTAGCCTATTTTAATTTGAGATAGCCATATCATACAAGTAAATAATGATGTTTTGGAGAAGGTTGCTCTACTCCAATGTTTGGTCGTCCAAGTTCAGGAAAATTTATTTACATATAACTTTCTCTTTTTTTCAAAGGTCCATTTTTTATAATTTAAGTTTTTTTTTTCTTAAAAAAAATATTCTTATTTAAAATGCATACGCAACAGGAGCTATAAGTATAGGTGTTAAAGAGCCATCAGAGCCCATTCAACAAATCCTCCAATGCCGGTTATGGTCTTAGGTGTTGGTATTACAATTTTTCATCAAAAGTTACAGGTTCAATCCCCTCCATGCAATATAATTTTCATAATAATATCAAGTTGCTTTGTCAGCAGTTGACAGTAAATGATGGTAGATGGTATAAACAATTGGCAAAAGTAGGTTTTTCATTGATGAAAACAACGGGCAAAGATGATTATTGGACAAGCACAAATCATGAGAAAACGAAAAAGAGCTGAGTTATCGATAGGGTGAGAGAGCATTGCAAGACGGGTGATTAATGTGAGGATGTGGACACGAGGCAATGTATCAGTGTAGAACAAGCACAAATGACTTTACATACAAGAGTAAGTGCGGGATGTTGTGGCACAAAGGACTGGTCTGCAAGCAAGTGCATGCGGCATAACATTGGTAATCAAGTGTATGAGGATGCAAGAGCATTTATTGTAGGGTAGATGATGCAAGACTAAGCATCAAGAACACAAAAGATTAGTTGTTTTCATGCTTTACTAATGATTTAGTTTTAGGAAATATTAGAATTTAGCATTTAGGTATTTTTTAGTTTATTTAGACTTTTTTGTAATGAGTGGTATGTGCAGCAATTGGACCAATAAACTAAAACTCAATTCTTAATTACCTTTCTCTCAAGACTTTATGGCTCTGTTTCCTCTACTTTCTTCTCTCCATTCTTATTCTTCCCTAGCATCCATCTCTATTTATCTTCCTGGCTACACCAAATTTTGATATCACTCAAATCCCAACTCGTGATTTCGCAACTTTGTCTGCCATGCATGCAACCATTGCGTACTAACAACTCTTACCTCCCACCATACTTCACCTCACTCTCATGCATCCGTCGCCGGCTCGTGTGTCATGCTGGAGTTCACTGTACAAAACCACCTCTCCTACCCCACCTCAGCTTAAAAATGCTTATCTTGCTTCATTGCAATGATGACATGCATCTCTCGCACTTGTTGCGATGCTCACAGCATTTCATGATAAAGCTTACACAAACACACCTTTCATTTATATTGTGTTCTTCGCACTGCAAAAATCTTGTCCTAAACCATCATGCTCTGACCATCTAAACTCTTGGGTACATCATCATAGCTACGCCCAACTAATTGCTCCATAATCACAATCATGCTAAGCCACATCCATCCAAACAACTTTACAGCCCCACCTCTTATAAGTGAAAATTAAAGATAGGGCCATTCATTTTCTACAATAAGCTTGACAACTTGCCACAGCTTTCCAGACAATCATCAACCTTACTAAAGATTTTCAAAGGTTGAACTTTGATGGTAAAGAGAAATGAGGTGGAAGGAGAAATGAGAAACTCAAAGAGATGGAAAAAAATAGGAACAAAGCGATAATTTCTTATATACAAATAATGATCTCCTAGCATAAGAGTCATTATTTTTTACAATATGTCCAAATAGTTGCATAAATACCAAATTTCAATATTAAAGACATTATATATAAACAAGGAATAGATGACTAATCCCTTTCGTGATGACAATGTTCGTCAGAAGTCCTAATCAGACGAACAATATTACATGGTCTCTTAGAAGTATGTTTTCAATTGTTTTGCATATAGTTGATTCTTCACTTAGTGTAGCACAAATCTTTAGTTGAAATCATCGTTTGGGAAGAACATAAATTTCAATGTATACTTGCACTTATTGTCATCACAACTTTGCATAACATATTTCTAGAGTTAGTTTCGCATTCTGTGCTAGCTCTTCATTCTATCCTACATTAATTAGAGCGGGCTACCATGGGGTCCAAAACCATGCTAAACCAATTTACCTCTAAAAAAAAGAAGTTTTAACAGACCAACATTCATGAAATAAGGATCATCTTAAAAAGATAATGTATTCAATCTAGATTAGACATTTCGCAAAACAGATCTCGACGCAGACAAAAAGAATATTGTATTGATTCAGATTCACGTGTTAGTAATAACGGATTAGTAATAGCACGTATTTGTCACATAGCATAATCGTGGACGAATGGGAAACAAAATTTGATTTGATGATCCCTTATAAGTGTCAATTATTATTTATTTAACCTCCAAGAGTTTTCACCGCTTTTTATTAAAAAAGAAATAGAAAGATTGACATATAACTCAACAATCACAAAATAAACGCAAGTAAACTTACCAGCAACATGATAAAGAAATGAAGGATCTCCATGTTTCTCCATCCACTCATATGTGTCTAGTGATGTATGGTAGAAAGGGTAGTCTGGAACAAAAATAACATGATACAATCTTTATCATATGACAACTACATGTTCAACGATACAATCAAGTCAATAAATGCACTATCATGAAAACTTGGGGTAACAATCATATAAGCAATGCATAGTTTACTACAATGGTGGCATGATTTAGATGGAAGACTTAACAATACAAGATTTATTTTTAACTAATAGAAGCAAAGCTCCTGGACAACATACTAAATCTGACATGCAATAGAAGCGATAAGTTGAATGCTTGCTCAACTAAATTCAAATAAAGTGTGATTAATTAAATCTTAAATAAGTTAAGCGGGGAAGAAATATCAGGATGCAGACTGAAAACTAGAAAGAATCTAAATTAAACTGTGGCTCAAATATTACCGTTTATAGATTAATAGCAAATTATCATCCACGAACTAATTCCTTTCAAACATTTTTCTGGTGGAATTCCGAACAGCTAGTACATGAAAATCTGTGTGATAAAATAAAAATAGATAGGCTGAAAAGCTAATCCTAAAAACAGATAAAAGAAGCTTGATATGTTCATTTAAAGATAAACAAATCACTTTAGATTTGTCAAATTGATGATAAATTTACTAATGCAACCAGAAAGTAAATCTCTGTATTACGTAATATCCCAAACATTTGACACATAATAGGTCATATTTCGTACCACAATGTAAATTTATGTTTACATCAAGATTTCTTCAGTTTAACAGCCTGATTAACTTATTAGTTCCTATCTTTACAAAAAAATTTCCTGGCCTAAGAAAATTTTTAGCTGATGTCTGATATCAGTGCAAGACGCCAAATTCAGTTAACATATACAACAACAACAACAACAACAAAGCCTTAATCCCACTATGTGGGGTCGGCTACATTAATCCTCTCCATTGTGCATCCTATTTAGTGTCATATTTTCATTTAGTTCTAGTAAATTAAGATCATTTTTAATACAATAAGCCCAAGTCTTCCTAGGTCATATACAACAATCATCGGAACCAAAATACCATTGCAGCAACTATTAGCAGGCAAGCTTCGAGTTGAAATGATATATAGCTAGATAAAGTAGGGTAATTATTAGACCGTCATTGATAAAAGATTTAGTCTTTGCATGCCCGAAATTAGAGTATTACTAATGATCATTAACAAAGAAGCATATAGTTCCATCTCCCCTTCAGCTTGAAATACCTTCACCGAAATAAATATCTGTAGCAGGAACTCCAGCATGATGCAAAAATGCAGTGAAATCTGAGTCAGCTCTAGAGAGTCTCTCAATCTGAAGAAGCAATTAAAAAAAAAAGAAGAAAGATGGAATTACTTCAAATAATAACATGCTGATTAACTAGTTATACAATACTATATGAGCAATGATCAACCAGAAATATTTTCTATAGCAAGCCTCGAGCACACTGATTTTCCAAAAATAACATTTTACTTATATGAGGAAATTCAGACTTTCCCACAATTACATGCTGACATCACTGTTCTAGATTCCTAGGTGTTTGAGGAATGAATCTAGCAGAGAAATGTTGTAGAATGGCATGAAGTAGAGAAGATGAGAAATTATTGAAGAATGGAAGAGGAAACAATTTTGCCTGCTGCTATCCAAGAGGAAGGCAGCAGGAAGCAATATCGGCGAGACTCGGATGCCTAAAGAGAACCACCACCACTTCTTGAAACAAGCTACAAGCATACCACTAGCAAGAGAACGAGATTGCAACACTCCAAACGAGAAAAAACAGAGACATATCTCCAAATAATATAACCATCGCAAAATTGTATAAAATCAGGTTCTAACAGCTTACCATACCAAGAAATAAATCAACCCTGATTCTAATTAAATAAATCCTATATATGGATCCCAAAAGGGCTGCGGTACTGGCACCCAGCAGAGAAAGATCCAGTTATGTGATCTCCTAGGGAAGAAATTCCGCTGTCATTAGATTTAATCGATTGGAGACGGATGGCTCAAGAGGAGTGAGTTACAAGATTTAACTGAGATACAGAGATTGTTAAATGTTAACGATTGAAATGGCTAAGGCGAAGTATTTGGAAGGAAAAAATCATTTAAGGAGACTTGCAGTGGCAAAATCCAGAGTAGCTATGATTGTGCTGTATAAAGAGGACACAGGAGAAGTTGTCAGGCGATAATCTGCATGCTCTCGAGTGAATTGAGTATGCACGCTTGGAGTTGGATGTAATAATGAACAGATATAAATGATCCAAATGATGTTGTACATGAGATGTCTACACAAACAACTAGTGGAGCACAATGATGTTGAATATGAGATGTCTAAGTCAGTGGCGTGCATAGACGTTGTAACGAAGCCCTTGCACTCGGTGAGATTGTAGGATGGTTGTGACCTCGCATACTACAAAGATCGACAATGGAACAAAAACACAATTGGGTTTGTGTCAAAGAATCGAATTGAATGGATGAGATTTCAGCTTAGATAATAAATGATCTAGAAGATGAAAACAAAAAGGGAGCAGTCAAGTATTAGGAGAGAGGGGCCCAAAGGGCTAGAGAAGACAGTCAGATTCCATTCGGGGTGAAGTTCATAAAATATCTTGATTGAGTAGATTCAGTTTATTTAATCATAATCAATTATAAATCATTAATATCTTTTATATAAATAGGTTACAAGCACAAGAAATAAGATCAAATGTTTAATTTTAAAATGCAAAACTGTCTAAACTAAATCCTAAACCAGTAATTCAAATTCAAGCTTAAAAGAAATTTTAACTAATAAAATAAATAAATAAAATATCAAAATTTCCTAATAAACTGAAAGCATTGATAAAGATCAAATGTTTAATTTTAAAATGCAAAACTGTCTAAACTAAATCCTAAACCAGTAATTCAAATTTAAGCTTAAAATAAATTTTAACTAATAAAATAAATAAATAAAAAATCAAAATTTCCTAATAAACTGAAAGCATTGAAATTAAATCTATACATAAGTTACAGTTTTGCACGAACTAGATTTTAACTGAACTCCTTCCTAAAAAAAACAACAAATATTGTATATCACTCATGAAAAAAAATTCAAAGAAAATAAAAATGTATTAACCTTACTTATTCCTCCATTATTAGCTTCCCAAGTTTGATATACGCTCATGCCATCAGAGCTTGGGTCTGCCACCTGAATAAAAAAACCAATATCGCATCCATAAAAAAAACAAGAGCTCGTGAAAGAGTTTCTATACCATTATAAAAGGATCTCTCTTTATTTTCCTTAACAACAAGCCTAAACAACGAACCATGTAGAACTTTGAAGATAAGCTTTTCTTAATGATAAAGCAAGTCATGGCAGGCAAAAGTGGCCAAATTATTCCACACCTGTTTCATGATTTCAATCAAAAGCTCGTCCAGTTGAGGGGATGCACTGGGATAGAAGCCAGGACCTTGAACTGCACAGTCCAAATTTAGATAGACTACTGCCTTCGATTCTAAAATTCCCAGGTTTTGCTCCACCCACTCAGTAGACCCAATCTGAAAACACAACAAGCATAACATAATTACTAAATTAAATGAAAAATATTGCAGTGCAAACTTCTACAAGAACTTTCACTGAGCAGAAAGCCCAAAAAAAGGATCCAATACCCTAATAATATACAAATATTCATATACACATACATATAGCAACACAAAAAAGCTGAGATCATAAAGAAAAATAAACCACAATTTTGCAAGTCCAAAAATAGAAGTCTGCACATTTCAGTACTCATTTTTTCAATGTTCATGAGCATTTGACAGAGAGATAAGCTGCCAAAGTGAAAGGACTCCTTAGTGAAAGGAATAAGCCATAAAACATAGTTAAAAGTTTAATAAGCTCTAGCTAATCTGCAACCAATGACAAATGCAATGCCTTCAAAAGGAATGAAAGGAAAATAAAGAAAGAAAATTCAATATTCAAACCATAAATATCAGTCACAAGGCCCATAACGCCAATGATGATAATGAAATCTGTACTTAGATAGCGAGAACCAGTAACTTATTATTCCAATCCATTACTTGCCCCTATTCCCTAAAAATACTTCAAATTTTTGGGCACCAGCAACTATTGATTGCAAACTACTACTAACCACTGCTCCTAAGAAATATAACATAAAAGATACAGACCAGAACATTGCAAGCTAATAGCAATCTAGAAGAAAACAAAACTAGATAGAAATATTATGTTATAACATAATCCACATTAAATTTTGAATTCCCATTATTAATGCCAATACAGTAGCACGCAATAAGATTGACAACAAATAAGTTTTTCAACTATTCAGTGGAAATGTGCTCAACAGTTAAAATAATTGCTTTACTTTCTCACCATTCCAAACTCCTCTGCATCCCAACTACATAGAATGATAGTCCTCTTAGGCCTCCATCCCGAGCGTAGCAGAGCACCAAAACGACTGGCAAGATTAAGGAGAACAGCTGTACCACTGTTAGGGTCCACAGCACCATATGTCCACGCATCTCTATGGTTGCCGAGAATAACATAGCGGTCAGGTTCCTCACACCCCTTTATGATAGAAACAATATTTTGGATCTCTGCCAATTTCCTGTCTTCCTTAAGAGTAAAAGCATCATTAATAGGTGGAAATTCCATCTAAAGATGAAAATTTTCAAAACCAGTAGACTATGACAAAAGCAATGTTTCAGGAGTAGTACAATCCAGTTCAAGGGTAAGATTGCGAAGGCACAAGAAAACCATATCATCAATCATTTTACCATGGCATTATTGTAATGACTGCTTCACATGCAAAGTGCATTACAAAAGCAAATAAAACAACCAGTGGTATGCTGAAAACCATTAGCGCAGTCAAATAAGAGAAACAAAAATGAAATAACCAGTTGGAGTGTCTCAAACGAATCTTTATAAGGACACATATGGAAGGAGCAGTCTGAATCAAGAATCCACTCCTTGTTTGATTCAAACTTAGTAATTACCAAAGTATCAGTTGAATCGTAGTCATCAGAGACTACACTTGCTTCTCCTGATTCTTTTGGCTTTTCTTTATATTTTTTCTTCCTGTCAGGACAGTTTTTCTTGAAGTGACCTTTCTTGTGTCAATGGTAACATTTGAAAGACTCATTTTGAAAACTAATTTTCGCTCTTCTTTCCTTGTCTCGATCTTGATTTGTTCTGACTGTTTCTTAAATCCTTGTTCGATTTTCCTCTAATGTTAAGACCATCTCCGCTGATTTTCTCATTGTCATGTTTCCTTTGAAGCTCTTTGACTTTAATCAGCGATTGAACCTCTTCTAATGAAAATTATTTGCACCCTTTCAGATAGCATTGCATCTTTTAAGTGCTCGTAACTCTATGGAATGGAGTTTAACAACAACAGTGTTTTGTCCTCGTCATTCATCTTGACGTCGATATTTTCAAGATCATCTATGAACTTGTTAAACTCATCAATCTGCTTTGAGACAGATTTATCTTCGTGCATCTTGAAAGAGTACAGGCGTTGTTTCAAGGAGAGTCTATTAGCCAAGGATTTCGTCATATAGAGCAGTTCAAGTTTAGCCCAGAGCGCCTAAACCGTCGTCTTCCTTGACACTTCCCTTAGAGCCTTTTCACCCAAACTCAAGATTATCACACTATGTGCTTTGTCTAGGATGTTGTATTTTCTCTCTTGGGCATCTCGTTCGGCAATGTCGCAGGCCCCTGCAATGCTTCTGTGACTCCTTGTTGCACCAATAGAGCTCTCATCTTGACTCTCCACATGCCGAAATCATTCTTTTCAGTGAATTTTTCGATGTCAAACTTAGCATATCTCATTGTTGTGGCTAGAACGCAAATTGTTGTGAAATCTATTGCCAAGAAAGCTGCAGGACAGCAAGAGAAAACCGCAGAACAACAAAACGAAAACGGGGAAAGAAAAAAACCACAAAAAAGATGTGCAAACAAGAACACCGAGAATTTATGTGGTTCAGTCCATAGAACCTACATCCACGAGAGGGAACTAAGAAACAATTCACTAAGACAATCTTGAAGATTACACGTCACAAAATCAAAAACAAACCAATCTCCTCAAGCTCTCTATCGATCTTGATCTCGATACAAGATTTCTTGGTTTCAAGCTCTCTATCGATCTTGATCTCAATACAAACTTTCTTGATTCCTCACCTTGCTCTCAGAATTTCTCTCCCTTAACCCTCTCAACTCATATACATCATTACGAATATATAAACCAATGACCCACACAAGATGACCGGCTAAACACTTTTAAATAGCCAAATGATCGTTGTGTCCATTAGCTATTTAAACCTCCTTATAAACGTGGCTTTGTCTTAGTTCATATAATTGGGAATCACCATAACAATACTGCCAAAATCCTTCATATTACATGAAAAATACCACCATTTTAACTTCTAATGGTGATATGTCACCTTTTCATTCATAGGTAAGGTGACATGTACCTAAAAAACCAAAGTTTAGATGTCAGATATATAATACATGGGATTTTAGTGAGAAGTATGTAAATCTTTCTTGATTTTAATGTTCTTTATACATCTACTTCGATCACCAAAACACTGCAAAACATAGAAATTATGCCAAACTATCATTCCTGGAAGATGCAAAACCAACCCATTATAAGAGGAACACCAACACGTGGAATGCAAAAAAATCTTTACTAAATCCGGAATCCATGCACTTGGAATGTTTATGTCCGAGGCTCCATCACTGTCAAGTATGGCCCAACCGGGCCACCCCACCGAAATTTAGGCCAACAAAAGATTCATATTTGCTTTACATGTGTAAAAGCTATTCATTTACCATGACAGGAGAACACGCCAAAAAAGCAGTTCCTTGAAAATTTTCAAAGCCGCCATGAATGGCTCTATTCCCTCCCATCCACATCTTCGGCACTCACCTAACCTACGAAATTGGAATAAAAAAACTGGACAGCCAGCATCATAACTTTAACCAGAGAATAAATTTACCTGATATGTAAAGTTGACCATTGTAGACCCCCCACCAACGCCCACCACCGCCGACATCTCAGCCTTCCACTCCGGAGGCGCCGGTGGGCCACCAATTGCACCCAGAATCTGCACTGCAGTAACTGTCGGCACAGGCATTGATGGTATCTTCGGGAACCTTTTCCTCACCTCTCCATCCTCCAGCGTAAGCCTCTCTGCTGTTGCGTTGGCCGCCCAGCCAGGAGTAAGCGGATCGCCAGGGCCACCAAGAAGAACGGTGCCCCTCTCCACTCCTCCACCAACACCTTTCCCAAACATGAGCACAGCCTTAGCCCCCCTCGCAGCAGCCGCCACCACAATGGCCCCTCTGGATCCGCCGCCCCTCCGCAACACCACTACACATCCACGGACGTCGACCGAAAGGCGATCGAGGACAAGATAATCCTCATCGCGGCCAAGGTTGGCGTATACCGCTGGCGCGAGCGCTGAACCAGAGGGGGAGTAGCTGTGGTAAGGTGCGACGACGCGGGCAGCGGGATCGGCGGGCTCAGATAGAGAAAGAGTCTTAACTAGGGTTCCGTTGAGGAGGATGGAAAGTGTGGCGTCGGCTGGGTAGGAAAGGGAAACCGAATAGTTTCGAGTTAGGGTTTCCAGACCGGCGAGCTTGAGATGGTTGTGCACGTAATCAGCTGCAGCGGCGGCGGAGGGAGTTCCGGCAAGGTGGGGTTCGCGGGTGAGGGCGCGTAGGTGGGAGGAGATGGAGGAGTTTGCGGAGGCGGAGAACGAGAGGAAAAGACTGCGAGCGTCCGTGGAAGCTCCACCGCCGACGTTGGGAGTGATAGAGGGTGTCAGTGAAGAGAGTTTAGGGGAGGAATGAAGGTGGAAGATGACGAGGAAGACGACGATAAGCAGAGGTATGAGGAAACGGGAAGAGAGAGATAAGTTTGGTAGATATGAGGGCATTTTGGGAGGGAGAGAGGAATGGAGAAGGCGGCGGCAGGGGGCAGCCGCCGCTAGGTTTATTTGTATGGGGGTGATTAATTATGAAAAGGTGGTCGTTTTTAATTTAATTTTGGATATGGACAGCGACGGAAACGCAAGTTGCATGGGATACAAATCGAAAAAGGAAGAGAATGAATATTGCTTTGCTGTCGTTGAGTGCGCAGACGTCAAATCAATCTGTCGCCGATATTTTCTTTTCAGGAGATTTTCATACATAGCATCCATAAAAAATTTATTTACAAGTCTAGCATTAAAAATTTTATATTTAAACATCAAGCACCCTAAATTCTTAAATTTTAGTATGAGTTCCGGCCCCCACTGCTGCTGGAAAAATTATTCCATACGGATTGGCTACCGCACGCAGCTTGCGTGCGGTGCCAGATCCGGACCGTAGATCACCTGATCTACGGTACCGATGTATTTCGGTGGGCCCCACCTATTTTTTTTTTATTAAAAAAAGGGAAATAATCATGACCGTAGATCACCGTGATCTACGGCCAGGATCGGACACCGCATGCAGAGATGCCACGCAATAATCTCTCCTGCTGCTGGAGGCTGCGGGAGGAGGGGTTGTAGTATGTGCCAGAGTAGGGAGGCGGTGGCCAGCCGGAAACCAAAGGCGGCGGCGGCGGCGCCGATGTCAGCGGAGGAGAATAAGTCGGCGGCGGACAGTGGAGATGCATAATGGAGAAGTCGGTCGGAAGAGACCGAGTGCTGGATTTGAGTATTTTAAAAATTTAGAGTGTTTGAGTGTTAGATATGTAAATTAACATATTTTGGCTTCTTGAAAGTTGAATCACAATGCAAAAATTAGAACTTAGAAATAAGATAGAGAGAGAAACAAAAATAACTGAATGGTAAAATATGATATCTATTATTCATTTCTCATAAAAATGATCTTTTTTATTTATAAAAGTAACATGCAAAATGTAAAATTATATTTTTGTTTCTTCTTCGACGAGATTGTTATAGGATTTTTAGGTATTTTACATATGCAAGTGTGTTGTTAGGCTACACTATGATTTGTTCGATTAGGTTATCATGACTTCAGCAAGGTAATGTCGGTTTTATTGGCTTGACAAAGTTGGCAAGACCGGTTGGTTTAATCTGATTGTCGATCATTGATCCCTATATAAGAACTTCATGTCAGCAAAATGGCATTAGGCTATCAAACAATAAGGTGGATTGTCGTAACTCAATAGACAGTTCATACCTTGACGAGGGAGGTCCTTTGGAACAATTTGCAGATTCTGTTGTATGGGCTAATTCTTTGTCCATGGCAGAAGCCTAGGGGGCATTCGTGGCATATCTGATGATGGTGAGGAATCAAACTCTTTCATTAGCTTGGATCCGTTGAAAAGTAGGTTGATACATTCGCTCGGCTTTCTCGTGGTGGTTAGCTTGGATTTTGATATGTTTGTTCAAGTCTGATCGGCACGCGCCTTGATTAATTTTTTTGTCCTTCTTCTGACTCGATTGACTTTCGTCCTTACCTTGAATTAATCTATCCAATTTGAGAGATGGGGAGTATTGGTTCTGTATCGGTGGGCCCCTCTTTGTTATACTTTCTTCCAAAATTGATCACCCACCGATTTTTCTTGAGATATGTGCAGGCACATTCTTACTTAACATGTTTTAGTTTTCTGATTCTCTTATTTTTTGAAAGCGTTATGATAATAATAAGATAACTAAATAGAAAAGTAGATATCATTTATTTAGTAATTAAAGGTTGAACAATTGAACTCACTAGATTTTTGTGCCCATGATTCTTATAAATAAGGTGTGATGGAGCTTTTTTTATATTCCAAATTTGTCTGGTGTTTCTCCTCAACTGAATCATTAAACTTTCAAACTTTTCTGTGGAGAACGTCTTGAACCCCCCCTAACAAGCTTTCTAACAGGGAAAAAATGTAAGTCACCTTTTGGATGTCGGTGGTGAGGTATCGTCTAGAGGTTAAGAACAAACTCGAATGTGAGCAGAGGATGAAGAAACTCTCTTATAAGAGGCGAAAGGTAGATGAGCTGATAAACCAAGCAGGGTCATCCTACTCGCTTTAAGTCCCTTGACGAAGGAGGAATTGGGCAGATGGTGGAAGCAGGATGGGTTGCTTGAGTGCAAGTACGTCAATCCAACCTTTTATTGAAGCTCGGGAGTAGGGTTGTAAACAAGCTTAGCTTGAGCGAGCTCAGACTTGGCTCGTGTTCGGCTCGTTTGAAATAGCTCGTGTTCAAAATCGGCTCGTGAACAGTGTGTTCGTGTTCGGCTCGATTTAAATATTTGTGTTTGTGTTCGGCTCGAAATTGACTCGTTAAACTAAAATTGAGAAAAATAGATGTAAAGTGTGGGATTCGAACATGGATCAAATATATACAAAAGAAGACACTAATCAGATTGTCATATGAGGTGTTATGATTTAAACTTAGACATAAATATATATAATATATTATTATATAAATAATATATGTAATATATTGTTATATAAAAAGTTATATAAATTTTTTTTCAAGCCATTTTGAGCCGAGCACGAGCGAACAAACTGTTATTCATGTTCGGCTCGTTTAAAATTCGAACTAAAAAATTTGTTCGTGTTCGACTCGTTAGGCTTAACGCACGAGCTGAACACGAGCTGCTTAACGAGCCGAACACGAGTTGTTCACGAACAACGAGCCAAATTGACAACCCTACTCGTGACTAATCAATTAAACAACTTGCATATGGAGCTCTTCATGCTCTGTCGCTGCTTGTAACATAAGGAGTTGTGAGTTCTCTACCTCCAACTGGTGAGAGTGATGTGTAATAACATAACAAGTTAGTTCGGGGATGATCTAATTTTATACGGACCAAACAAATTCAACTAGTCTGAGATCTCTCAATTTTGACATCATTAAATCACTCAAATGTTCATTGATTTCCGTCTGCTTGTGAGAATCCATCTGAACCGTCTGATAAAGTGGTTTTAATTTCTTCTTTATTTTTAGAGAGATCTCTCATAGACTCTATAAATAGAGCGTTCCCCCTATCTTTAAATGGGAAGGCCTTGAGGCAGAAGAAGACTGAAGCTTGTAGAAGGAGTTGAAGTCTAACACCACTTCTAAGGCATAGATTTGATAAATACCTCCTGCTCCTGCAACTATCAACCACTGCTAACCACTGCCTGTTGGCCACCGTAGACCACTGTCGGCTACCACATGCTTTGTACGACACTGTTTCGAATGGAGTCACACACAACGAGCTTTACACAATTTAAGTGTGCATTGCAGAACAGTGAAACACCCGGCGGAGCAATACGTCACCTAATATTATGAACAACAACGCACCCCGAATATGGTGCAACAATGAACCATAAATATGGGATAACGACAAACCTTTATGATGTCGTAACAATGCACCCAACATACAATGAAACTACACCTTTTGAAAAATAATGTAACAATTAACTCAAAATATGGTGACTTTATCCGGAGTTCTAAAGCTCTCTCTTCACGGCTCACAACTACGAGTGACCAACTACAACCTATATGGTTCACAACTCATATAGCACCTTACTCGAAATCTTACATATGTCATAACAGCTTGCCATTAAGACCTTTGTAACAAAAAATGACTTGTGCAGTCCACAACTCGATAAAGCTCCCAACTCCAACCACTGTAGCCGACAAACATCCTCACAGCTCGCCACAACGGCCTACGCGGCCAACTACAAGCTACTTGCTTCACCAATAGTGTAACTCTCAACTCTGAAATTTACGAACTACATACTCCACAACTTGTGCAACTCTCGATTCCGACCATTGTGACATATGAATGTTATCAAAATTCACTACTATGACATATGTGATCAACTACGACCTAAGTAGTTAGATTCTGTGCAACTTTGCACTTCAACTTTTGCGATCTACTAATGTCCTCACAGCTCAACTTAATAGTCTACGTGAACAACTACAATCTATGTGATACAAAGTTTGTACAACTCTCCATTCAGGCCTCTACAATCTAAATGGTTCATAGCTCATGCAAATTGCAGCTTTGGCATCTATGGCTTGATGATGTCATCGCAGCTCGCCATAATGTCCCTTGTGACCTATTGTGGTAGTTCATGCATCTCTCAACAATAGTCTCTGCAACCTATATATATCATCACAACTCACCATTACGATCTACATGACCAACTATGACATATACGGTTCACATCTCGTTCAGCTTCAAACTCTGCCCCTTGTGACCTATACACATTAAAAAGAAAAAAACTCATCATTATGACATATTTGACTAACTACAACCTACGTGACCAACAACTTGTGCAGCTCTTGACTTCAGTCTCTACAACCTAAGTACATCATCACAGGTCACCACCACTGCCTACATCAATAACTATGCATATGCGACTTACAACTTGTGTGACTTGGTACTGCTGCCTTTACGACCTACTCATGCCATCGTAGCTTCTCGGTGCAATCTATACGATCAATTATTGCCTACATAGTCAGTAGCTTGTGCATCTCCTAGTGCTAACCTTTGCAACCTACAAAAATCATCACAAACTACCACAACGACTTATGTGACCAACTACGACTTACATGATTCACAACTACAACCATTTACAGGCCACGCGGACAACTACTACCATGACTTTCAACTATGACCTATAAGGCAAGCTAGCGTCACATCCATCATGTACAACATTCACTACGGACTACCGTCTCCATGGCAATCAACCACGACTCTTGCTATCTGCTATCATCGAAAACTACATTCATTACAACCAAACTATTGCTATTATGAATGAATTGTTCTTGTGCATTAGCAATGATTAATTTTATTACTCCATCTTTTCTTATTTAGAGAAGAGTCAACATGTATACTCATCATTCATAACGGATTATTTCAATTAGTAGCGAATTATTTCAACCGGTCTAGGATTCATGATTCGTTTTTTCTCCTTTATAAGGTTTTCAATATAAAAATTGATGCATCTCATCATATTTACTTCTCTTTAATTACCTTAATGTATGACACATTTTCATGCAATGCTAAACTGCTAATTCATTACTTTACACTCACAGGCCTTTCCGACACACATCTATTCCCATGTCTTTACCCATCTAACACCTAAGTTTCAATACTCTTAGGTATATATTTGTTATGTCATCTTTGCATGAAAAGGTGCATCACACTTTTGTAAAGTTAAAATAAAATTTTTTTTTAATGTGATATGAATTATTTGCATTGTATAAATATAAGAAAATAGAGTTTGGGTTCCTTATCCAAACACATAAAAAATGAATGTTATGTATATAAATGCCCCTAAAATATATGCTTTAAAATGTGTATTTAAGAAAATATTAGTAGGAACGAATGTCAATAATATAAAAAAAAAATACATAAAACTAAAACTGCAGGCATATGAATCGCCTTCATCAGCGCTGGAAGAGCGAGTCTCAATAGTAAGGATGTTTTGATATAATGTTAAGAGTTCTTGTGAAATACGCAGCCTAATTTGGTTGGCAATTTGCATTTTGAAGCTTGGTTGAAATGCAAGTAGTCAGCGCCGCGCAAAGTCAATGTTTCAGCTAGAAAGTCAAAACACGAGGTCAACCAACGCCCCCATATGACCAGTCAAACTATTTGACTTCGCTATGGACGGCTGACAATATTATATCTACAGGCGCCTGAAAATATGTATTTATATTTACCAGAAAAACGCAAATAGCACGAGACCTTCATTTAAAGTTATGGAAATCAGCATATGTTTAATTTTAAATGAGCAAATTCATAAAGGGGAATTTACATGCAATACCCCAAATTTTTATGTATTTACATATATAATATTATATACGAATATATATATATATATATATATATCTGTGTGTGTGTGTGTGTGTGTGTATAACCGACGAATTTTGATCATCCGTCATAAATCTCGATGCATGACACATATCTTGATGAAAAAACCATCAAGAACTCAGAATTCGCCAAACTTATAGTCAAACTAATCGACTCGATAAGATTGACCTAATTGTACCCAAACTAACCCAATTTGAGTCAAAACACATTTGAAATATTTACGAACAGAATTGGAAATGGCAAACTTATTCTATATCAAACATCTTTGCAAGATGAATCCAACAAGCATGATATCGTTCAATTCTGACATCATTAAAACACTCAAATGTTCCTCGAATATCATGCGATCAAAGGGGATCTATTCAAACCTTCTGATGGAGTGGTATGACCACTTTTTTTATTTGCAGATAGTCCTCTCATTGAATCACTAAATAAAGTTTTACCCTCCTCTTGAGAAGGGGACTGTATCTCGAGCAAGAGGAAGACTAGGTATGGAGCGGAGAGACTCTAAGGCCATGGAACAACGATCCGACGAACACCTTGTGCCTCTAATCCAGCAGTTGTCAACCACCATCGAACACCAATTGTCGATCACTATCGACCACCATCGACCACCAATTGTCGATCACTATCGACCACCATCGACCACCATCGACCTCCTGCTCCCACGACCGCCAACCCTCATCAAACACCGCTCGTTGGCCGTAGCTGCCCTCTCCTAATGATGAATCATTGTGTGAAGCGACAACCGATACCACAAAGTCACAAAACTATCAAAAAAACGTTGCATCATCTTGAATGTCGTGCCGACCCTAAAGACGGTGCACTGAAGCTCTAGCAATCACTCCCTACCATGGGACAATGAGTTTTTTTCCGCATCGACGCTATAACTCGAGAAACTGCATAACTCTTTTCCCCTATGGGATAACAAATTATAACATCCATAATCTCTAGCTCATAGTGAAATATTTTAACCAGGCAATGTCTTATGGTTTTGTCCCGTTTCAATTCTTCACGTAACAACTTCTGATGCTTATGTTGGTTATTTTCTTTCATCCGATTGTATATCGGATTCTTGTACAAAGCTAAGTTGATAATTCGTCACTCTATCACCATGAATTTTCCGGCATGCATCGATATGCAATAATTAAATTTTAGGTACTAGATATGTAAATATAAAAGAATCGAGTGGTATTTACATAAATCTTTCATCAATAAATGAAAATTTTAATTAATATTTAAAGGTCAGTGTTGTTAAGAACGGTATATATTTATTTATTTTGATTATAAAAAGTATTTAATTATTATTTTAAGAGGTTTTGAATATAATTATGGAGTTTAAAAATCTTGTTAATTTCGATGAACATATATCCAAATACATTGCTTCTTAGTAAGTTTTAACGTTTAAATTAGCTTTATATATTGATTATACTAAAAAAAATACTAAAATTGAGACTTAATTAAAAAAGAAAAAGAGATATATTACCGAATTTGTAGAGACTGAACCCCAATTGGGATTATGAAAGCAAAACATGAATTGATATATGTTGAATCCGATGAGCTTATAGTCAAATTGAGCCCCTTGACAGGATGAGTCCATCGAACTCAAGATCGTTTAGTTCTGACATCGGTAAGACACTCAAATGTTCATCAAATGCCGTATGATAAAAATAACTCTCTGGGTCATCCAACCAATCATATTGATATATTAATTGTACGGAGAATTTTGTAAATAGAACCTCTAACCCTCTCATATGGGGGAAGAAGAGCTTGAAGGTTGAATGAGAGTTTAAAGCTCAAAGAAGAGCTTGAAGCTTAGAGGAGCTGAACTTCAGCATCACTTGTCGTCAGTCGGTCGTCGACCACTACCGACTGATGCCGACTACCGCTAATCGCCGCCAACCACCACCGATCGTTGCAGACCACCGTTGACCACTCTAGCCTGTTGTCGTCGATCATCATCGGCCGCCGCTAACTTCTTACAATAAGTCCGTTAGTGCATCGGTGTTGTAACTCCGAAGAGTGTTCAACCACTTCTCACATGCGGGAGAAGAGACTGTACATGTAATATCTAGTTTATAGTAGATTTTTTCAGTTGGGCTAGGCCTCGTGATTTTTTATTTTTCTATGTTTTCCACGTAAATAATTCTGATTTCTCAACTGATCATTTTCTTTTATCGAGTGTGTGTTGAATTCTCTCGTAATGCTAACACAATATATCATTACTCTGCGCCACAAATTTTCTAGCACTCATCACTTCTAAATTCTCATATCCATGCCCCCAGTATAGTTATCCAACAAGGCAACTGTAATTAGACCATTGGAGTGACTCCATTTACTTAAATAAAAAATATATATATACATATTGTAAAATATTAAAAATTAAATTTCCTGTAATTATACATATTATATAAATTTCTCCTTTAAATATTTGATCATCTTTTGAGGCGTTTACATACACACTGCACACTTCTTATGTAATTACATAAAAAAACACCTAAACTATATTATTTACATTCATAACATACAAATCTTTAAAATCAAATAAAATATATCCTTTTTATTAGTTTTCTTAAAATGAAATGTACATTTTTATAAATAATTTTATAACACTAAGATGTTACAGATATAAATATCAATCTTTAGGTGTTAAGAAATAAATCTATGAGAATTGTGTGGAACTCATGTAAATTTTCTCAAGTTTGATTCTTCTCTCTTTTGAATTTTGAGTTCGATTCTTAACGAACACCCATGATTAGAAGAAAATTTACATGTGACGTCTGGACGTGTAGACAACGACTTGGATCGCACCATCAGCTATGCACATAACGTAGTGCAATCCACAATGTCATATGCAAGTTTGGTTATCCAAACATAATATCTTCTTCATGATTAGACATTCGAAGTGAGTCAAATTTCCCGCATTTCAATCACCTTCAATGGGAGCTCTCTACTATCAGCATAAATCTTAGAGCTTCTTTATCTCTAGTCTATACTGCTCTCTCTCTCTCTATCTCTCTTCTCTCTTGTTATTATACTCTACGTGGTTAGATGATGTGGGCTTACATACAATTCGTAATTCAAAACATAGCACAAAAATAGTATTAAACCATTAATGACATATCACTCCAATCTATATCAAAATCTCTTCACATAACATCATTTATATAACTTGAAACAGCATATTATTCACCATAAAAAATACATTTTTCAAGCATATGCCACTAAAATAAAGAGCAACTTAAACTATTTGCAATTAAGCTGCCACATAAAGGCTTAGCTAGCTCTTGCCAAGTCTAAGAAGCAAAGCATCTTCCATCTCCAACAAGTCTCCAAAAGATCTCCACCCTTCATTTCCTCTCAACAACTTCAACGGCTTCTCGGAATCCTCCCCGGAGCTCTCATCAGTCGATGCCGGAGAATCGACGGAGTCTTTCCCGGTGAGCTTCTGCACCAAACTCCTGAAGTTCTTGGGGTCTGCAAAAATGACTTTGGGAGGTTGAAGGTAGACGATGACCGGATTCTGTTGGCCGACAGTAGCCTTTCTTGTCTTCCATGAGTTCTCGGAGAGTTTCAGTAGGTGTGCGCTCGGGGATTGAAGAGCTCTGGTCGAGGAAGATGAAGGCATTGTAGCGTATACTTTACTGAATAATCGAGCGTTATATATATAAATATGCTAATAGTGGAAGTCAAATGTGTGCGTTGACCAAATGGGGGTGCGCTGAATCAAAGTCAATGGCCGGCTGTGAAGCTAGCTTTTGTTGGTCAAACTGTAATTTATTATCTATATCCCCTCCGACAAAACTGACTCATTCATACCACGTGTCTCTTATTGAGGCATATGTTAATATATATATATATATATCAGAGAA